TGCATTTAAGTGTCTGCCAAATACAAAGCAAGCTCCCAGCGCGAGCGTATATCAACATAGCGAACTCTTTGAACGTCATTGCACATCCACCTTTTGCTTGCTTTCTTATATATGGGAAATGAGGAAAATAAAAGTTATTGAATAATCAATGCAATAGTGGCACAACTCAAAAAACACGCGTTTTAGACTAAAAACAGGCGTAAATATGAAAATACACATTCTTTCAGCAGCAATACTAGCACAACTCATAATTCAACTTGAAGGTAATCTTCGTTTAAGCAAACTAAAACATTTCTTATGCATTTTCCTTAGCAATGAAAACTTCAAACCCACTTATCTCAAAACATGATTTTTTGAGTTGTGCCGCTATTGCAGCCCATGAGCGAAGTAATAAGAAAATCATGTCTGAAATTCATAACAAATATACTTTTTTCTATTCTCATTTAAAGAAACTGATGAAAGAATAATAAAATTGCTTCGTGCAGACGATTTCTTCTACAGTAAAACAAAAGTAAAAATTCCTTATTTCGCATTTGATTCGTAAAGCGCATGACACGCCATTTTTAGTGGTCCAATCAAATCCAATGATCTTTCAATGTCACATAGTTATTTATTTTTCAAGAAGGAATGTTCTTATTTCTTGAAATATGTCACCAAGTCTAGGATTTCAGTACGACTTCGAAACTATATAAGCATTTTTTACTTAATAGCACGTTTAGCACGAATTAAATTTTTGTTTGACGTGTTTAACTTTTAAAAGCTTTTAAATTGTTTTGGAAGCATATTTGTATAATTTGATAACGAAATAAAACGGAACTATATGCAGTCGTGGATGATTACTAAAATTCTACACCGCAACGGTCTTTTCTAACTCGCAGCGGAGTTATAGCATTACTTGGATCTGACCTTGTCTAATATATTGAAATTAGTTCGAACTTTATCGAATTTTTATATGCAGGGACTTCATTTTAAGTAAACAATTACCTATAATCATAGAAAATTATAAAAATTGTAATTTTTTCAATTTACTTTTTCTAATGTGCCAAACATACGAAAGTATTTTTAAAAAATTCATAAAAAAATGTTTCTATGTTACTTACTTGTTTCCTGTAAACGTGAAACAAATGTAGTCAACAATCTATTCATACCAATATCAATATTTCCTAAGGAATAAAATAGAAAAATCTTAGTCTAAATGGCTGTATTACTAAACAAGAATTTTTTAATCAATCTTTGAAACAAAACTTACATGTAGTTTGAAATTGTAGGTTTTTAAAAATCAAAAATGGTGGAACATTTCAGCAATGCACAAATTTGTAAGAAAGTATAAAAAATAAAATAATCAGGTGAGTAGTTTCATTTGGTCAAAACTGGTCAATATATTATTTTATGTTTTTGTCTGATTCACATATAAATTGATGTTCCATAATAACCACTTTTTAATATATATATTCTTAAAATCGAAAAAGTTTAGTTCATTTAAAATTTAAGTGTCGACGGAACTAAAAATAAATTGTGATAACTGATATATATATATATATATA